TTTTTTTTTTTTTTTTTTTTTTGGGGGGGGGGGGGGGGGTGTGATTTATCATTTCTGTGCTTTGCTGTCTTTGTACGTGTGGAAGAGTATATTCTCTCCTTGGGTGAAATACGAATTGCATCTGCATTTCAATTGCTATGATCTGTATTTCAATGCGCTGACCTCAGTTTCCTACCAGCTGATGGAATGGCACCAACCTACTAACGATACTTGCCTGCAGGTTTCAACAAACTCTTTGTGCCTCCTCACTGTTTTTGAGGTGTTTTGAAGTGTTGTGACTAGTGGGAAGTGGTAAAACCAAGAGAGTAATTTAAGAAGGAATGGCAAGCTGCTCCTGGAAGTGGAATAATGTGACAGGGCTGAGGCAGAGCAGCGAGGCTGGGAGAGAGAGGGAGAGTGAGAGCACACACACACACTCACTCGACTCGATGAACACAGACACAAAGTGGCAAAGTCACAAAGTCGCAATCTTGGATTCCAAACACAATGTTGCAGCAAGTCACACTGAAGCACAAGCACTGAGGCGGAAAAACTGAATGCCCGTACTGGGCTTGAGTCCGGTCTTAAGTACCGGACTCAAGTTCAGTCCCGAGGGCAGAAATGCAATTTGCCTCCGGGCTGAACTGAAAATGGAAGGTCTGAGCCTGGGCGCCAGAATGCCGGATGGCGCCAAGTATCGAAATCCGAAAGTGCCAAAGGAGGAATTTTAGAACGGGCGCCAACTGCAGAGGGCGCCAACAGTCAGGAGCCGGAGATCAAAGACTCAAAAATGAAATAGCAGCCTGGCGGGTGGTAGCGCGCAGACCAGGGATCGAGCCCTGGGTGAGTCCATAACAAATAATCAATGCTGATCAGGGGTCCCTCGGCCTAAACGAAGGGATCGTGAGTGTGTAGTATTGTATCTTTGTGGCTTGCTGAGCGAAAAGGAACCACTCTGAGACTCGCCAGAACGGAAATTGAGCCACCATAAGGACCACGAGGGGGAAGGGGAGTGATATGTGAGAGAGGGTGAAGAAGAAGAAGAAGAAGAAGAAGAAGAAGAAGAAGAAGAAAAGCAGCAGCAGCAGCAGCAGAAGAAGAAGAAGAAGAAGAAGAAGAAGAAGAAGAAGAAGAAGAAGAAGAAGAAGAAGAGAAGACGAAGAAAAGATGAACAAAAGATGAAGTAAATAAGCAGAAGAAGCAGAAGAAGCAGAAGAAGAAGAAGAAGAAGAAGAAGAAGAAGAACACAAACAGAAATCGTGGAGAAGTGAAACATCAAACGAAAGATAAACTTTAGGAAATTATGAGGCACTTAACAGCATGGGTCCCAGGTCACACGTTTTTGTGCCTGGGCCGGAGTTTGATTAAAATGCCTCGCAGCTGACTGCCGGATCCTTGGCACATTGGGCGGCCCAGATGAGAGGCTAGGTTGAATGGTGGCTGGGCCAGTAGTATATCAGACAAGCCGACCTTCTAATAGGAAGGTAGTCTTCAGTTCGTTCGTGTGCCACCAGGCTGCGAGGTAGAGCAGCCAGCAGTAGGGGAGATAGAGGAGCCCAACGGTAGAGGAGATAGAGGAGCGCTGTGTGGAGCTGGGAGAGATTTGTGGTACAGTGGAGGAGTCCAGTCACCTGACACCATATCTTGGAAGTCTGCCACCGGCCATAGCCAGACTTCTGGGATGCATATGCAGTGCATCAGCGGCTCATCTTCCACCAGTTAGAACCAGCTGAGAGAGAGAGAGAGAGAGAGAGAGAGAGAGAGAGAGAGAGAGAGAGAGAGAGAGAGAGAGAGAGAGAGAGAGGAAACTAGGCATTACTACATCGGGAGCCAGGCTCCTTGACTTTATGTTCGGGGAAAGACGGTAGCCTGATTTTCAGTCGGAACAAAAAGAAATTGAAATCCACGCATGCATTCCTTTCAATTGGTTTGATTATGTTCTGAAAAGAAACAAAGATCATAGAGGAACGCATGCATACCCCTCAGACAAACTAGAGAGACGTAGTGGTAAGGGCATAGTGGGCTCACACACAATGCAAAGAAAGTATACCTTACAGGGTTGGGGAGTGGGAGCGGGGCTGAAGACAGTTGGAGTCGGGTTGGGGGTAGGCGCACGTGCAGGAAGAGTGGGGCGCGCTGGGAGTAATTAGGAGCGGGAGCGCTGGGGGGGGAAGGATCTTCGCGGGAGAGTAGGGAAGAGGGGGG